AAAAACCTCTCCAAAAAAAAATAATAATAATAATAATCATAAATAATAATAACAAATGAAATGAAATGAAAAATACAAATGTACAACATGAAGCCATCCAGGTTCTGGAAGCACCGGGCCACTGTGCAGATCAAAGACAGAGGAACTGGGTCACCTTCCCCAAGATGGTCTCCTAGGGTGAGGTGCCAGCACCCCGTCAGCTGCACCTGCACCACGAATCCACATCCCACCACAAAGAGAGCCTTCCCGGTCAAGGACCTCTTCACTTTTAAGACAGGTCCTCACTTAGAGATGTTGAAGTGTGCGGGAAAAGCCCCGTGCACCTTGGAATCGGTGGAATGGCCCCATGCCAGCCCCCCCATGCTTCCCTGATGGGGGTCTTCGCTGGGAGTGCAGCCTGGCTGGCACACACACAGCAGAGGAAGCTGGTGGGGCTGGGGCGGGGCGGGGCCCTGGAAGGAGGGGATTAACGGCTTTCTTTGTGCAATTGAAAGCTGATAGATAAAGGATGTCACAATGCCATTCCTCTTTATAATTAAGATCATTTAATTATGGCTATTAAGGCCTAAGCTGCTCCCCCACGTGGGCTGCTTTTAAGAAAATACCTTTGCTTCTGCCACTTCCCACACACAGACCTGGCAGCGGTTAAAGAGACGCCCCCGTCTCCTAAGTCGCATCTTAGGAGCCCATCTGGTTTGAAGTAGGGCGACAAGCAGGAAAAGGATTGAATGAAAGGCACAATTTGTGTTTTTTGAAAATACCGAAAATGGAGGGGTGGTGGTGGTTAAGGGCGTTGGACTCCCACATGGCTGACCATGGTTCGATTCCCAGACCTGGAGCCTTGTTTTCTCACTTTCCCTCTCTCTCTCTCTCTCTCACTCTGTCCTTCTCTGGTCAAATTAAAATAAACCAATGAATGAACAAAGTTACATAAAATAAATATTTAAAAAAGAAAGAAGGGAGGAAGAAAGAAAGCAGGCACCGTAAATGGTTCCGCCCGGCAGAGAGGATGAGAGAAGATACATGAAAGAATTGATAACATGAAATAACCTGGACTTTTCCAGCCCAGAATTGTAATCAGTAGAGACTGCAAAAGAGCAACCACACCAGAGGATTATCTTGAGAAAGACTTTGAAGGAAGAAAAAGAGGGACCAGCAGTTAGCGTAATGGCTGTGTCGTTAGACTCCCACGTAGTCGACCGAGGTTCGTGTCCCAGACCAGGTGGCTTAAAACTCACGCCGGGCACGTGTGTGTGCGTGCCCAAGATCCCGAGAGGAGAATGGAGGAGAAGGGATTGCGGCGTGGCCATCCCCCCTGGAGGGTGATTTCTTGCTTTCTGTCTCTCTGTCTCTCTCTGTCTGGCAAGCGCACGTGCCCTATAGCGAAAAACCTCTCCAAAAAAAAACTTTGAACATTATCTTTAAAATTCAGTATTTTGAAAATTTGAAAGTTGTTTATAAACTGTCAAGAACTCTGGTGTATGAGCAACAATTTTTTTTTTTTTTGGAGAGATTTTCACTGTAGGGCGCGTGCGCTCGCCAGACAGACAGAGAGAGACATAGAGACAGAAAGCGAGA